CGTGAGGTCTCTCGCCTGAACAAGGGGAGAAGATACTTTTTCTTTACCCTTTTCCCTTGCAGAGACGGAGACAACTGAGACGTGAAGAAAACGTGTAGAACTGCAATATAGAACACTCGCAGTGGTAGAGGCCGGAACGGGGCGTACTATCGGAGGAAATCTGGATGCTCGATTGGCCGTGGCCATCTCTTGTCCTGTGCAAACTGACTGACTGACTGACTGAAATTTGAAATTTGACCTTGACGTTGCTGTTGCACACGCGCCGCTTCCAAAATTTCCACTTGTATGATGATTTCACTGTTGTTATATCGATTAGCGTAAAGTTGAGGCATGACAGAACTCGACTTTCTATCACCCGAAGTTGAAAATGAAACTGATGTTGTGGGTGAGGACTTCGAACCACCCGATAGAGAAACATCAGTCCCTCCGACGCGAAAGTATGACGGTATATGTTCCAACCCGATTCCCAACTATGGTCTTGGATACGCGAATGGAGAGTAAGTTGTCTGGAGATTATTTTTGATTGTTTTTAGGGGAAAGGAGACAGTTGAAATTTGTCAGAAGACCGTCAATCCTCACAATCGTGTGAGCTCAGAGAATTTCAACATCCAACGCGTCATTGGCAAAGGAGGTTATGGGAAGGTAACGACGTTCCCAGCTACCTTATTCGTCAATTAAGGTTTTTCTTGTGCAAAAGGTGGATGGGGCTGACAAGGGAAAATTATATGCGATGAAAGTATTGAAGAAAGCTCGTTTGGTATGTAATGAAAAGGATAAGGCTCATACGGTCTCTGAAAGAAATATACTTGAGATGCTACGGGTAAATATATGCATCCTTACCTCAGGCTCTTCCTTAGCATCCATTCTTGGTTCGCCTGCATTATGCCTTCCAAAACCATTCAAACCTGTATATTGTTTTGGAATATTGTCCAGGAGGCGAGTTATTCAACTACTTGGAGAGAGAAGGTGCTCTCTTGGAGAACGCTGCATGGTAAGTTTTAAAAAAATATGTTGTATTTTTAATAGCTTTTACACAGCTGAGATTGTTCTGGCTATTGGTCATCTACACTCTCTTGGGATCATCTATCGTGACTTAAAATCCGAAAACGTCCTCTTGGATCGACAGGGTCATGTAAAGCTAACTGATTTTGGTTTGTCAAAAGAGGGAGTGTGTACGACAAATACATTTTGTGGCACCATTGAGTATATGTAAGTATCTGTTTATACGATAACATTTGTAGGGCACCGGAAATCATCAAATATGAGGGGCATGGCAAAGCCGTTGATTGGTGGAGTCTTGGTACCCTTCTCTTTGATATGTTGTCCGGTGGAGTGAGTTCTTTTAGTTTTGTTGACCAAATTTGTGATAGCCTCCTTTCAGTCAGGAGGAGAGTAGAGAAGCTACGACACATAAGGTAGAGCTTGGTGCTTGTTTTCATGCCGTTTCTTGTAGATTCTCACTGCTCCTCTAAAATTCCCTCCATCATTCTCACCAGAAGTGACTAGTTTAATCAAAGGCTTACTGAAACGAGATCCAAAAGAGCGCCTGGGAAGCAAAGAAGATGTTGAAGAAATAAAACGTCATCGGTTCTTTCGTCGGCACGTAAGTACCTTCTCCACTGTTATTAAGCTGTTCCTGTTCCACATAAACGTTCATCAATAGAAATTTGTTTTCCGAACAGTCTAACTTAGGTTCTTTATTAATACAGAACACTTCAAACAGTTTATGGACTTAATTTTGATCTATAATTAGTCGTATTTTGTAACCAAATCTGACATACCATCTCAGCTGTATAAACATTAGCTTTTTTGCAAGCGCTTCGTCAGTTAACGAACGTCGGCTACCTAGTACTATCGATGTTGAAGATAGTAGGGTAATTTTGGTTACACATTGATGACGTCCAACCACGATGCCTAATCTCTATATCACGCAAACCTTATGCTTCCCATGGTTCGTTATTCAGTTTCGGGGTTTAGATTGCTGCCTCTTGATTGATTCGTGTTTGTGTGGTTTACGTATTCCATCATAGATCCCATTAGAGTGCGCAATGGTAATCCCATAATTGAAGAAGTCTGCTATTCATTCCAGCAAATAGAGCCATAGCACTTAGATTGCTTTAAGTGACACTGAATGTCACAGGTGTTTCGGGGCCTCAGTCAAGTGGTAGAGCGTGGTGAGCGGTACCAACAGGACATGTGACTTAAGTCTGCACCGTGCACACCTCGGTCTCCTCTCAAAACGGTTACTCTACGGCTAAATATTCACGCATTCTTACGGAATACAAAGCAATGTGAAATAGGTCCGTCCTTTTTCATTATATATTTTTATGGCCTACCAGCTCATTGGACTCGTGCATATTTGTCCATTTTTCTGAACTTTTTTCTAATGAACTGAACTCAACAGTGACTGTAAGGTTAGTGCATGCCGATCCGCAGTCTGCGCATTACTAATCACCGAAAGCTCCCCGTGAACTACGAAATAGCTTAATTGACTCATCTCATTTGCCTTGGATCGAATCTTACTTCTCCTAGGGTGTAAATCTGTTCTAAAACAGTCGGCTCGTTAAACAAGCTGCTTGAGTATGTCACGTGATTTATCCTACGTCCATTATCTATACTTGTCAGGTTAGCCGTAGAGCTTAATTGATCAAAGTTCAGCAATCAATTTTCGGAACCAACACCGATTGAGGCAGGCAATCACCGTTCTATTCGCAAGTTATCGACCTTTCGGGACAATGTTATCCTGCGTATTTGACTGTCTCTCATGCACGCTACTCCAAGTCACCTCAGTTAAATTTAAAGCAAGGATAGGAATCTGGATTGGCGAGTCACAGTACACCAGTACCCAGCGTATCAGAGAAAATATACCTACTGTTATTGCATTTTCCAATTTTATGACGAACACTGAATTATATATATCATATATTTTCACACATGTCTGAATCCAGACTGTGCCAATCATGGTACAATAATCTTTATAAAAATAAAAACGGTCCATGATTTGCATTTGGGCGGAGTACTGCCAGGTTGCCCAGGCCAAGGCAGGTGAATTTTCTTGANACCGGAGTCTCCGGTTATCCAAAGCCTGACCCACAAGACAGCAGGGCGGTGTGTAAAAGTCACAATCCATTGGGGGCTGGGGTCCAGTTCATCGGATCATACGCCCTTTGGACGGGGTCAAACGTCCAAGGTGCCCAATACACCTCGATGCCCAATCGAGCTGGTGCTCACTGCCACAACCAGGAAATTGTTTGTGTGGTTCATACGCCTCCTCATGGTTGGTTTGGAATCAGGGTTTTTGGCCAAATCCCTTAGGTGAACTACCAGTGGTCCACCAACCAGGTTATAGTCCCGGACATCGGCTTTTCGTCCTCTCACATTTGTGGGAGAACACCGCCACGAGAAGGCAGTGAGTAGGGTTTCCTCAGCAGAAGCTTTTTGAGACGCTTGGTCATATGGGAGCATTTCACGAGGCTTTTGAAGGTACATTATGGATTATAACACGTTATTCCGAATATGCCGCATTTAGAAATCTCGGAAGAGCTCGAGTTCTGTGGTTTATACGGGACATGGGGATTATAACATACCAGTAGAAACGAAAGTCTGTAAAATTATGCTCGACAGCCACATTTAGGTCTACTACAAATTACGAGCTGGCCTATTTCCCGAAAAGGAGCCATTTCATTTTGGCCCTCATAATGGGGCTTCACAATTTACCTTCCACTAATGGGATTCGGTGTGCAGTGGGAAAGCAAAACAATGTCTATATATATCAATCCCAACCACTCGCGGATTTTATAATAGCATATCCTGAAGAAAACGTGCCACCCTTAAATTAACTGGTCATATATATATATATATATATATATATATATAAACCAGGGGTTTCTAATCAGTTATTAGAAT